CTGTTAGAGTAATGAACGGGGTAAACCAGCATTTCAAATCCCCTTGATGCCGAGATGAGTGCAAAGCCGTCTATCAAGCGCTAGCTCCACACAACACATGAGGGAGCTGTTGGCTGGGAACCGCACGGCAGTTCTCCCACGACATGCGCGAGGAAGACGGTAGAAGGCCTAAATGTAATAAACCACCCTAAATGTAACAAAGTCCTCAATGTAATAACATTTTGTCTTTAATGTAATAAAGTCCTAAATGTAATAACAATTTGCCCTAAATGTAATAAACTCGTAAGTTGCCAATTACAGTAATTACTCGAATAAGCGCCGCATTTGGGGAGGAGTTAATTAGCGCCGCGGCGCTTATTCGTGTAAATACGTACTAAGTGGTATTACGATGGTATTAAGCACCGCTCTCAAATAAGCTCCGCGGCGCTAATTCGCGTAAATTCGGTACATTTCCTTGTACACTGTGAAACTTAACGTTTACAAATAAATTGCTTGTAAAATGACAAAGTAACAGTATTTTTAAGCAATAGAAAACTTTTTTCCTGTGTTTGCATAGCCTGATATAAACACTCGAGGGTGTGGGAGAATTCGAGACGTTTTCTATTGCTTTTATAACATAACTTTCCCGAGAAAAAAGAAAAATTCTTTGTTTAGGTTACTGATTAAAAGAGAAACTCTTACCAGTCGCGAAGCTTAATGTACGTGTAATCAGTTCTTGTTTTGCAATAATGATACTTTCCAAAAAAGGGTTTTTCTCTTTTAAAATGTCAGCTTAAGCAAAAAAAATCTGCACGGTATGTTTGTAAAGATTTTCCAAGTTTCATCTGACGAGGGAATGGGTAAATAAAGAAAATTTGTCGAGTTTTCAACTCAAAAACATTTTAAAATTTGTGCTTTTGTGATTAGCGCTCTAAGAGCAAAACATCTTGACTCCACACATGTTTACATACTCTCATGCAAACACAATTCTCTCGGCCAATCAGAGCACGCGCGTACTATCTCAGTTATTTATAAACGTTGTTATCAGTTGTGCAGTAGTCTTTACAGCCTGTTTCCAAGGAGGTGGGGGACCCCAGATAGGTGAGGTAACACGCGGCGGGTCACCCAACCTATCACGTAAACGTGATCAAATTGAAATGAGAGATTATGTGGACAGGAGGGTTACCCACCAAAGCAGCTTACCTCACCTACCTGGTGTCCCCCACCCCCGTGTAAACAGGCCCTATAGACTTCTCGTTTTTCGTTCTTAATATTTTAGCTGATTAGATCTCTTTTCTAGAGATCCAACGTTGACAAGCAACAGGATCTTCGTCCACGGTTTTTGCAGTAAATTTCTTTAACAAAAATGAAGTATGAAAAACCTTTTAAGGCTTACAAGTTTTTCTTTTATTTTGTCCCTTTACAAGCAATTTATTTGTAAACATCAAGTTACACAGTGCACAACGAAATGTACCGAAGCTTATTAAATTTTTTCTCCAAAAATGCGGCACTTAAAACCATAGTAATACCTCTTAGTGCCGTATTTACGCGAATAAGCGCCGCGGTGCATATCAAACCCCCCAATGCGGTACTTATTTGAGTAATTACTGTAATTTGCAACTTAAGAGTTTATTACATTTAGGACTAAATGTTATTACATTTAGGACTTTATCACATTTAGGGTCGTTTATTACATTTAGGCCTTCTACACCTGTAAGACGGATCATGGGTTTGGTGTATGGGTGACCCTTGCTTTAATTTGTCTTTTGAAAATAGTGAAATCCCGACTTTACGCAGCAAAGTTTTCGAGATATTGAAGTTCGTGTTTTTGTCCGAAGTTGCGCACAAGTCATTTTGCGTAAAATTTAGTGGTCTTAAAAGCAAACGTAAAAACGTAAAGTCCGCGAATATTCAATCAACGTACAGACTTGTATTTGGTCTCTTTTTAAAGCTAAAAAAATAATGGTGCGCCAATGAAGCCTTCCGAATTATTTTGCTTCAAAGACAAAAAAATTCGCTGCGTTATTAGTTTTGTTAGCGGCATGCAAAAAACAATTCCAGCGGGCAAATGCGACAGATGTCGCGTAGGATAGAAATGATCCACCCAACGATTCCCGACGATTGGTTGAAGACGGGATGAACACGGGACTCACAAACACGCTCTGAGCTCGTGGATTCTCTGATCTGTATCACGTGTTCGCTCGAAAACAATGCATCACTCTGTTCTGCATTACGTCATGGTTGCCTTACATTACTCTATGTTACATCGATTTTTTCTGCCCCTGGAACAATCGCGCACGGCTCTATTAGGCTGCCGCCTCGCAGGCTCGCGACTTCGCGAGGCTGCTCGTTGGCAATTATTATTATTATTATTATTATTACTATTATTAGTTGTCTCTCGTAATGTGAATGATATAAGAACCGTGGAGCTGCCCCTTGTAGTCAAAATGTCGAGAAAACCGAGGGTAAAATGGTCAGACCGGATGACTAGCGACTTACTAGAGTTTGAGAGAAGGGCTAAGGAGTTGACTTCCTTTAAGATCCACTGTGTAATGCGAATGGGAAAAAGAAAGGATACATCATGGTTATGAAAGAACTTTGGGAGCAGAAAGGAAATGGTCACCTCGGCTTAAAAGGGCAAAAATTTACGCAATCAAGCCTCGAGGTTAGAAAAAGCACAAGAATGTTCTGTGGATAACACAGGCCTCCCAGACTTAGTATGTGTCAAATGAATATATTAATATTCACATGGACAAAATAGGATGAGTCGTCGAAACTCCCATGAACTAAAATACTCCAAAAGTCAAAATAGAACAAAACAAAGCTAAGATACCTTTAACTGAACGTATCCTTGTCTTTCCTGGCCGGTTAAAGTGGCATTTTGTTTAATTTTGCAATTGAAGGTACTATCCACTGAAGAACAATTAAAGGCTGGCTACAAAACAAACGGACCATCTCCACGCGCCTTCACGCGAAGCGCTATAAATTCAAGAATAATCGACGAATCCGCTCCAAATTGCCATCGGCTAATCTGCAGGTAACGTGTGCTCCTGCTTCTTGTTCGCTGGCTCCACAAATCCCATCGCAACTGCACAATAATAGCTCGCTAATCAAGAAACACTGTTGACCTTTACGCTTCGATATGACCGCAAACTACCAGGTTTAATACGCGACATGAATATTCAAGGTTGGCGACAATCCAGCACTTGCTATGGGAGGGATGGTACTATTGCTTCTAGGTCAATCTATCGGGAAAACGATATTCTCAAAAGACCACTGCACGACAGTTGAGGCACTGCACGACAGTTGATAATGAAGTGTCCGCTTGAGTGACGTTGGCTTTCTATTGGGCAAGAAACAAATTCTCAAGTGTCCGTTGTCCCGATTAACGGGTGTCCGTATTAAGTGGGTTGAATTTAGAGAAAATGTAAGAGCTTTCCCCAGGGACAGAGCAAACTGTCCGTAATAACGAGGTGTCCGTATTAAGCGGGTGTCCGTAAAGCGGATTTCGACTGTACAAAAAAACAATTCCAGACAAAAATCCATACAAATCCTCATAACTTGGCTTCAAGGAGGCTGTTGGGTTCCTTGTGGGTTCACCTACATTGTTCTGCAGACACTTAATTGAGGAGCAACACTTTCTCAAATATTTGTTCCAGAAATTTAAAGAACGACTTTCCCAAATTTTCGATTCTCTCGGCAAAAAAAAAAAGGTATTACTAGCAGATCTTCTGCCATAATTAGTTACAAACTGTGTTTAAGTCCACCAGTTTATTTTCACTGTCAACAGTATACCAAATAATGAACTTTCAGTGCAGAGTATTGTTGATGATATAAACTACTAGTCCAGGGGCGGATCCAGGATTTTTCTTAGGAGGGGGTGCACCACTAACTGACTGATGACGTAAAAAATTTTAAAAGCGAATACGAAGAAGAGGGCTTTTGACTGGGAAATAACATAATGTGAACTGCTGAGAATACATATCAAACGATAGAGCAGATTTTGTATGTCTGTCAAGCGACTGCACAGTGTTAATTAGAAAGCGGCCGCAGGTCATCCCGGGGGGGTGCGCACCCCCTGCACCCTCCCCCTGGATCCGCCCCTGTAGTCGTTCTTAAATCACTACTGACAACTTACAGTACCTTGAATCTGTCATGAACCATGAGCTTTAAAGCAACTTATATAAGTTATGTTTTCTAACTAAGTTCAGATTATGCTGCCTACATATACACATTAAGTTTAATAATCATGAAACCAAGGGCCATAATGGGCTCTTGATGAAACCAACGGCATTCCAGACTCCAACATGTCCTGACTTCAGCATATAAATTTGGAAGAAAAAGGAATCTAAGTTGAGGAAACTCAGAAAATCGTACGAGCTTCAGTTGATGAGATTTGAATACTACATCAGACACGCTACCATTGAAAGCTGCTGGAGGTTCTGTCGCAAGCAGAATGGAAATTTAATTATCGGTGCGTTTTAATTATATCAAATTGCAATTATAAAATGCTACGATTTAAAACACTTTTTTTCCACGATATAACTGTAAACAAGTGCAATTTTTTAATATGACGCTATGATATATTTTGATATCGTGAGGAAAGATAGAAGGCTACGGGTTTCATTTTATTAAAGAATAATTTCTAAAGCAAAGAATTTGTGAAGTAAAATTATGACATTAAGTGTATATGGCATGAAATTCTTTTGTTAAGCTCTTAAAATTTTTTTTGCACCATTCAATTTCTGCAGCTAATTTTTTCCACATACTTTATAAGACCACTAGACATTTTTCAGATGTCATTAGCTAATGATACAAGAACATATTGTGATATAACTAGAACAGTTTGGTGAAATAGTTTGAGCCAGTTAGGAATTGTGCGCGGATACGCAGAGGGCGAGTGAATTTTCGCAGCTGGCTATTTTCACGCACACTTTTTCTTGATATGCTCAATCTACTGTCCCTGAGGAAAATGAGGGACTATTTGTAGTCTACGATAGTCACGGGGGTAGACAGCGCAAATGTTCTATCTTGAATTTTCAGGTGGCTGTCGACGGTTCAAGTTCATTCCACCAATGAACAGCTATTATTTTAAGGACCACGTGTACAGAAATCTTTCTATTGGAATATATGCATCGTGTGAGCATCTGTGCGTCATGGCGAGCGAGTGCGTGTCCGTCAATGTTGGCCCGCGAATATAGGATAAAGTGATATGCGACTTAAGCAACTCTGATCATTGGCATCATCCAAAGGATCTTCAACCAAGACAGGGCTGGACATACAGAGGTGCAGAGGTACGATTGCGAACTTGAAAAATATGAGGACATTGTACCGTTCTTCGTGTAATGATTGTTATTAAATCTGGGGTCAATTTAATAAACCTTTTACAAGTGTAATTTACAAGTATAGCCATTGTTTTAGAGTCTGAAAACAATAGTTACACTTTTAAATTACACTTTAAGAAGTTTTATTGAATTGACCCCCTGATGTAGATAACCTATTTTCAAGAACTGTTCTAGGGATAAAAGGTTCTCTCTTTTCTATACTGTTGAAACCTAGTCCATTCCCACAATAAAGGATTTAAATACTTGACTGTTTTTTTATCAGAATCTCTGCTGCAGTAACCCTTGCCTTAACAACGCCAAATGTCTTCTTGGATATACAGACAAAAGATACCTTTGTGTATGTGCATCTGGATATACAGGGGAACACTGTGAAACAGGTACAGTTAAACTGCCGCATGAAAAAAATCGCCCTCTACCCCTAGCCACTGTTCTAAAAGATAGAAGCAAAGTCGTTCATGTTATAACCTGGGATTTGCTAGAGATAGAAGTTAGTAAATATACACCGTGAAGATTTTTACTGACATATCTCTCTAGCAAATCCCAGCTACTTTATACTATAAGCGACTTAGCCTCTATTTTTCTTTCGTTACGGTCTCCAGTTTATCTTTTGCTAATTAAGCTTTAGTGTAACTACCGTTAGATTTATTCAGTTGGCATATACAGTTATCATAAAGGCTCGTTAACCGGAGTCCAACTTTCATAAGTTTGCGTTTGCCGTTCTTAGTAGTAGGGCATGCGTTCGTTGCAACCCATTTTAGCCCTTGGTACACCGGTCAGCCTACATGAAGATGAGCCCGCAGTCAGCGGTTACTGGCGTGTAAATGTCTGGGACCGAGTGAGGGGTGGTCGCGCCTAGCCTGGGTTCTAGTTTTCTTCTTTCCGTGACAACGAAACTGGTTGGCTCATGTATCCTTCATTAACATTAGATGATCATTAGGCCGTTACTCATTCTCTAGTTCGTTTGATCTTACAAACGTTAACTCATGTGATGTAGAATTTCTGCCCCAGTAGTAGGGCTTCAGCAAACTTAACCCCGTTGGTGTCTAGCAAGGTCTAGCTAGGTCTAGTCTATGATGTAACCCATTGTTATAACCTGGGGAAAAAGTGCCTTCCTCCATATATAATGAAGTTGATAGGTTTACTAATGAGCGTCACTCTACTACAATAGGAACAATAGGCTTGCCTAGACTTGCCCGTGAAGTAACTTAAGCCCTGTTTTCGGACCGTCTATTAAAAGAAAAATAGGAATAAGAGAAGCGATCACCTATCAACGCTAGAAACGGCTTCCTATATCTTATTTAGCGCTAAAACTCAGATATATAGAAATGTGGTGGCGGTGGTGGTGATGGTGGAGGAAAAACAATAGAAATGTGGTGGTGGTGGTGGTGGTGGTGGTTGTGTGAGGGAAAACAATAGAAATGTGGTGGCGGTTGTGTTGGCGGCGGTGGTGAAATGTGGTGAAATGTGGTGAAATGTGGTGATAGAAATGTGGTGGTGGTGGTAGTGGTGGTGGTGGTGGTGGTGGAGGGAAAACAATAGAAATGTGGTGGCGGTGGAGGAAAGAAAACAATAGAAATGTGGTGGTGGTGGTCTTGGGGAGGAAAACAATAGAATCTTGTGGCCTGAAAACCTATATAAATGCGCAACATTCTACCTCTTTCTCAGTCTACATTTTGCTCCTGAGGAGTTGAAATGAGTTGGTTCTGTTCTGTCTGCGAAAAATCCTTTAGTAGAAAAGATAGTATGCAAAGGCACGTGATTTCTAGACACCACAATGCTAGACTCAACCCATTTCAAACAGTTCCGATGTTTTCACAGAAATGTCAGCGGTTTCGCTTCGAGCATCCTTTCACCTCCATCATTGCCGGAATGACCGGGTCCGGAAAACGGCCTGGGTTCGATCGCTATTGCAACAATCTTCAGAGACCATTTACCCTCCCCCGGAGAGGATCGTTTGGTGCTATTCACAATGGCAATATGCGTATACACAAATGTTAGTCGCCATCCCAAACATTGAATTCGTCAAGTGAATTCCTACGGCTTTGGAGCAGGATTCCTATTTTGATGTGAACAAACGGAATTTGATCGTGTTTGATGATCAGATGATTGACGCCAGTAAAGACAAGCGAATTGTGAACCTCTTTACTCGTGGTTCTCATCATCGCAGTCTGAGCGTGATTTATATCGTGCAGAATCTATTTCATCAGGGGAAAGGTAGCCAAAGCATAAGCCTAAACAGCCATTATCTGGTGTTATTCAAGAATCCACTAGACAAACTGCAAATCCTGACTCTGGCGAAGCAAGTGTATCCCGGGCAGACGGATTTCTAATTAAGTCACTACGAAGAGACTGTAAAAAGACCTTTTGGTTATCTTCTGATTCATCTGAAAGCTACTACCCAAGATAGTTGTCGGTTGCGAACAAACGTCCTGCCCAGTGAAGAAGGCTTTAGCCAATCAGGGTTTCAAGAAAATATTCCTCAAGAGCTTCTAAAATATCTGAAGCAGCAAACTCTTTCGCCTGTCCCGCTTCTTCCGGCTATGCAAGAAATACAAGGCAACATGGATGGCTTGCTTTCTCGAAACGATATTCGGGATGATGAAAAAGCTAAACGATACCTTCCGTTGCAAAACAGATACCTGGCTTTTAAAGAACAATTAAATACAAGAACACGACCGGAAGAAATAATCAGCACTGTTCCAGGCTTAACATCAAGGACACAAGATTCTTCGACAGCAACGACAGCATTCTCCACTCCCCTCAACCCCTTTAATGTAACACCTGAATTAACACAAGCGGCTACCTCTCAAAAACCTGACAAAGAAAGCCTCATCCCTCCACCACCCTTAAATCCTGCTTTCCTGACCCCTCCTCCCACAGTACAAACCTCATCACCACAAGGCCCGAAGCGCAAAAGGCGTCGGATTCAATTTCTAAATTATTTAGATGATCATAAATCTCATGGCAAACAGCTGAAGAAACGTCGGCATAAGAAATTCAAACCTTAAAAGTACTCCATGGGCGAAGAAGAAGGAATTAATTAATTTCCATTCCTGTGTATTTCACTCTTTTTGTCATTGTTTTTTTAATAAAGTTTTTTAAAACGGTATCTCTCTTGTGTTTTTATTGCTAGCAATTATGAGTTGCGTGTTTTAATTGATCCTTGTTAAGTTATTTGTTTTATAATAATACGTCAAGATGGTCCCTTGAGGTTTTTCCTGTAGAGCTAATTTGTATTCAGCTTTGGGCTTGTGAACTCGCATAATTACCTAACGGTGCGTGAAACGCTGAGACTTCAATAGTTTTTCATTTCCTCGAGATAAAACGGAGAAAACGTCAGACAAAATTGAAATAAAGCGTTTTCAGCCCCACTTTGTGTATGTTTTGTTGATATATCCGAGTTTTAGCGCTAAATAAGAAGACGTAAACTTTATTGAAATAAAGACTATTCAACTTACTTTTTCTATGTGTTTTGTTTATATATCTGAGTTTTAGCGCTAAATAAGATATAGGAAGCCGTTTCTAGCGTTGCTAGGTGATCGCTTCTCTTATTCCTATTTTTCTTGTAATAGACAGTCCGAAAACAGGGCTCAAGTTTCTTCACGGGCAAGTCTAGGCAAGCCTATTGTTCCTATTGTGGTAGAGTGACGCTCATTAGTAAGCCTATCCACTTCATTATATGTACAGGAAGGCACTTTTTCCCCAGGTTAAAACAATGGGTGACGTCATAGACTAGACCTAGCTAGACCTTGCTAGACACCAACGGGGTTAAGTTTGCTGCAGCCCTACTACTTGCCCCCTTTATGCGAACATTTACAAGAGCACGCATGCTCACTAAGATAGAACGTGAAACACTTGCGTTACATTAGTAAGCGAGAGTCAAGTCGCATAAATGCGGGAGTGGAAGTTATGCCCACTTATGCCAACATTTACGAGAGTAGGCGTGTGCATAACGATAGATTTATATGTACCTGCATTTTATTAGCGTGAACTTGTGGGAGCAAGATTAGATAGTAGTCATGCGCATTTGAACATCTCAAAACACGTACCAGAGACGTTCTTCTTTTACAAAGTTGCTAACGTGTAGGGGTTGAGTATGTATTGTCAACCGTCACCTGCCTTCGAGAGTCTGGCAATTGTCACATCAGCCCCAGAGCCTACACAAGCCACCCACACTCCACTAACTTCAACATTCACTCCGCACTCAACTGAATACAATATTCACGCTTGTAGATCGCGCTTTGTTTTGACTGTTTTGTTCACATAGAAATAAATATTTTTTATTTAACTGCATGTCACATTGAATCATGCCGTTAGGCGAAAAAATGAATAATGAAGCCTTAAACTGTGACATGACAAAACGTTTATTAACATAGAGTTTTGTTTTGCAGCATATATGTAACGTTATATAATGATGTAAATGCTACGCCCACAATGATTGGTCGTTTCCCATGACAGTGATATAAAGTTCATATCAAAAACAGGACCGTTTCTGCAAGTTAAAACTGAGTCCTGTATACTGCACTATAAAACACATTTGTTTGTCATGGACCAAAAGCACTGAGTTATGCTTCTTCCCCTAAGTCAGAGAAGAATTCGATTTCCTCTACATCTGCTGATTCACCCATTCGGTAGTCCGGTAGACCATGGATGTTGATGTTGGTTTTTGGTCCCCGAAATCAACGACCCACCGAGAGTAACGACACCCCGAAAGTAACGAGCCGCAAAGGCTGCTAATTCCGAAAGTAACGAGGGTCGCTACTATGGGAACTTTACGGTATTAGGTGCACGTTTGGCGAGGTATCAATAAGAATTTTGGGGGAAATTTAATCCTGGAGAGTATATGTGTTTTTTTTTTCAAAGACAAACTATAGAGATATTCAGAACAATTAACTGAAAATAAATAAATGCTGACTCTCAATTGTTTGCTCTTTTCAATTGCTCATGTTCGAAATAAGGGAAAAACTCAAAAAGTCAGCAAAGGACTAAGCGTTCGGAAAATTTACACAAACGTGCACATGCCGCAATCCTTCCAACCGATGCTTTTAAACTCCAAATTTCTGCACAAAGAAGGCGCCTCGCCTTGTACTGGTAAACATTTCAGTTCCAGCTCAAAGGAGAACGTTTTAAAGCTTTTTTTTGATATCGCGTTCTATTGGAATATCAGTAAACTGCCAATTATGTATAAAAGGAAAAGCAAAAACGTCATTTTGTACGAAGTTTTAAAAACCATATGGACCCGTGTGGGAGCTTGTCAAAATAGTCACGCTACGCTCCTGGTGGGGACAAACGGGCAGTGTTGCCGCAGTGGACTCGCTCTCTTCCTTCTCCTCCGGATATTATCTCTCTGCAGGAGGTCCAATGCATGTGGGACAGCGAGGCCTCGGGCTG